CAGTCCAGGGCTGCTGGGGCACATCACTGCAGGGTACCTCCCTGGGCAAACTGTGGGGGCCCAAGGAGTTGTGGAGGGTGGCAGAGAGGCAGGACCTCAGCCCCGTCTCTCATATTATATTGGAAAGAAAATGGTAGTGTCAAGTAAGGCAAGAGGATTTCCTGATTGATGGAAAAGTCAAAGTTAGGGAGGATCCAGACCCTTCTGGAGACTTGTTTACTTTGGGTGAGGGCAGAAGCCATGTCATGGAGCTGGATCTGCCCCACTCTCCTCCTCCGACAGCTAGCAATAGCTTCCCATAATCAGTGAGGAAAACACCTGCAAAACATACCTCACTGCTACGTACCTCTGGGAACTGGTGTAACTGCAAACTACACACAGCTTGAGTGTCATGAAACAAACTGCCCAAAGCACTCACTGCGCCATCGCTCTCCACAGACCTCGGTGGCAGCAGGTTGCAGGAGAAGAAAATGTTCAACCATGGAGAAGATGTTGCACAGACTATGAGTGTAAACCCTTTTTGGGTGGACAACACTTGGAAAGCCCCATGAATCTGCCTTCCCCTTGGTAGCCCATCTCTGTGGAGGCTCCCCTGGGGAGGAGGGTTGTGGGTTTTTCCTGAATCCTCATTACTGACCAAAACTCCTGCAGAAACAAGGAGCAGATCACAGAAGGCTTGAATGAAAATACCTCACTTGTTCCTGTGGGTTTGCAGTGGTCAGCACAGAGGTGGGAAAAGGCTTCAAAGCCATTTTCTCCTTACAGCCGCACTGAGTATGGCTCAGTAAAGATCGCTTATGAAACAGCAGGTGTAGATTCTCTCTGTGTCTGGTACAGAGGAGTTATCACTGCAAACAGGATTATTTGTAGGTGAAGGAGCTGCAAATGTTTAATTACAGATACAATTCTGCCTGGGACACAGCAGGCCTTTTGATTTGTTTTTCTTTTTTTTAAATTTTAATCATTTTGTTTTGTTGCCTCTTGAAATGGTGGTCTGCAGTTTTACATAATAACCTCACTAGTAACCCACTTTCCCAATGTCAATATGAATAACATAGAAATTAGAGTCTCCTTTCTCACAAAGCAGAGTTTTTGCTAGCAGAGAAGGTGGGAAGCAGCTTTCACTCAGCAGTTATTGCATTTTAGCTGATATCTCATTATCTGACATAAACAGATCCATGGGCTTCACTTCATCTTAAACTGTTGCCTACCAGACAGAGTCGTATCCTACTGCCAGAGACTGACATGGGAAAGGTAAATGGCTGTGCTTGAGCTTAGCTAGCAAAGGCTGGACGGTCAATGCTGGGTGTGCAAACACACAGCGAAGAGGTAGGGAGTCAGTCAGATTTTGTTCTCTCTGTCAGCACTCCTACAATGCACACGGGCCTTCCAACTAAAGGCAAAACCAAACCTTTTAGGTCAGTCTTTTTCTCATCTCCAGATCAGTAGGATCTGTTCTTCTCAGCACGAAGCATTTTCAGTATTTTATTCCAGTACAAATTTAATTCAAAGCACTGCTATTTCGATGTCCTATTATTTTAGATTCAGTTCACACATTTGGATAAGTGTATTTGACCACTTGGAGATCAAGAATGGAGAATTAGCATTAGTTCCTCCATTGCTTTTTAATTCTGAGCCCAAAGTTTCTGCCTGTAGACAATGATCTTGTGGGCCAGCTATTCCTTGCTGAAGGCACAGAGGAGAATGATGGGCAGCAAAGATAACTGCAGATGGGATTCTGTTCAAAAGATTGGAAACAAAAGAGCAAAGTCTAAACTCTATTATTAATTTGGACCAAAAAATGTGTGTAGCATCAAATCACCAGAGCAGTGATGGGTAGGAACCAGGTGGACTCTATTAGAAAGCGAGGAAGGGAATCTTTCTTTCTAATAGCTGCCAAGAAACATGCTTGTTTCAGCTTTTGCATGAAATGATAGATGGGGGCTTTGAAGCCCAGATCTCTTTGGTTTTATTCCTCCTCCCTTTGAGACATGGGTGCTGTGGATGTTCATTACTCATGTTGGAAACATTTGCCACAGGAAGCTCCTGGAACGGAGTTTGGAAAGCCATGAAAGCCCTAATGGCAGCTGAAAACATCAGTGCTGTCCCAGCACTTGCTGAATCAAATTATTAAGTGCCAAGATAAATTAATGTTTGTCTCTGAGTCATTCCCAATTTTACAGAGTCCAGGGTTTTCAGATTCCCTTCCTACTAAGAAAATCCTCTCTCCTTGAAAAAGAAACCCCATTTTGGTGGCAGCAGCTTCCAAAATCTGGGACTGTGTTTTCAGAAGTCTTGCTTCACTCTCCAGTAAATTCTTTTCCACCTCTCCTTGCCCAGTGAAATAACTGGAATATTTGCATTTTTTTAAAATCAGGATTTTCAGTAGTCATAAAGCATAGGCTAACGAGCCTCTTCTGCAAGGCTATTTAGTTAATTAATATTTATACACTGAAGCAAGGCTCAAGAGCTAATCTATGAAGTATTATTCAATGCTCCTGAGCATCTGGATTGAGAATCCAAGATTTCACTGAAATTGAATTAAGATTGCTGCCATTAGATCTTCAAAATAAAGGAGATAAATACAACAAAAGCATGTAGCAAGGAGACACAGCTCTGTCTGGCCAGCCTGTGGGCTGAGATAACTAGGAGCCGTCCCTGTTCCTCGGGCTGTTGCTGAGGCAGCTGGGGTGCTGCAGGCAGTGGGTCATGTTTATCCTCAGGAGGAAACACTGAATCCACAGCAGCTGAGGTCTCTGTTCCTACGCCATGCTTGGCTAGTGGAGAAGGAGAAGAAGGGAAGACCTGTCCTTGGCTGCCTTTGCTCCCAGTAGCCCCAAGTGCTGCCCGTGCTGCTGGCTCAGCCTGGACCCTGCGTGTCCGTGGGGGCTGGCACTACCTTTCTGGAGGACTGGTGCAGCCCCACACTCCACTCTGTGGGCTGTTTAAATAGGAAATAACTGAGGAAAGTGGCTGGGTACAGGCTGACACTGACACCCCACCCAGCACTTGTGACACTGGCAGACACACCCTAACTGAGCACCTTCTCCCGTGACGTGACTTGCCCTGCTGTCTCCCACAGAAAAGAGCAGAGTATAAACCAGAGTGCTTTCTCACCATCATTCAAGCTCTTTCTCACCATCAGTCAGCAACCATCAATTGTGCATCCCTTCCAGCATCTACAAGGGTTTGAATGAGAAGCCTTCACATCACAGATCTCCCTGCTGGGATCATCTTCCATTTAGACAGGAGAGCCACAGCCACTTTCAAAATCCTTGCTGCTTGAGCCTTATTCTCCTTACTTGGGGTCAAAAAGAGGGTTTCCTATGATTTCACAAGGACTAAGATGAGGCTTTGTTTCTTCAGAATCTCCGTACCTCATCCCCATCCCAGTAATAGGCCAGGCAGTGAAGACACATAATGGCTGCTACTTGCAGCTGCAGTCAATGCAGTTGGGGCATTTTTCCAGATGTAATTTATTTCCCTTGTTTAGCAGTGCCTGTGGTGTTACGCTTTGCTGCTGTAGCATGTTGGTATGCTTAAGCCTTTTTACATTATTGAATAACTTAGCACTTCTTGGTCTTGGTCATCTGGTTGGTCATGTCCTGGTTTGTTCCCAGCACCTCTTTTCAAGTGCACTGTCTATTTTTGTCCTCAGAATTAAGCCTGGGTGATATTTGAGGATCATTAGCTTCAGAGACTACCTTCTGGATGGATGAAATCTTCATCACCATCCCAACAGGCCCCTTGTGCTCATGCAACCTCAGCCTCATGTCTAAAAACAACCAGTGTAGTACCCTCTACCACAACCCTCACATTTTGTCAGGCAACTGAACAGGAAGAAAGAGAAAACTGAAAAAAAATGGGATAATGTAGGGCAACAGAGCATCCCAGAGGTGACAGAGGAGCCCCAGCCAAACATTAAAAGCAGGGTGGTCAGCCTTGAACAACTACAGTATGAGCCAGTTCATCACACTGAGGGGCCAGGGATCATTCTCTGGGGCTGATGGCTTCAAGTAATGTTGTTGTAGCCACGTACTGGTGCAGTGTTCCTCACAAACCAAGGAGCTAGTTGCTTTTGGGAAGGTTGGGAGTGCGTGTGGATGTGGATGCATTTCCAGAACTGCATTCTGCAGCTGTGGCTTTCTAGAGGATACTAGTGGGTGGTTCAAAAAATATAATAAGGATATTATTATACATATATAATTTGATTCTTTTAGTCTGAAATAAGCCCCCGGCAAGTTTATATTTACTTGGCAGCAAAGATATAAGACTTGGTTTGGCAGTTACATTTAGCAAAACACTGGGAACTCAAGGGAAAAAATATTGCCTGGCTGAATATGTTGAACTAATGCTGAGAAATGGGGCTCTGTGAATCTGAATTCAACCCAGTTTTTCAGAGCTACTTACCCAGTCTCCTTCCACCATTGGCCAACTGACAGAAATTCAATATTTTTCTTCTAGTGAATGAAAAGCATAGTCAGAAACAGCCATTGGGTCAGGATCATATGCAAAAGCTCCTCTTGTGCTTTTGTTTCCTAATTGCTCTTGGAAGGATTTTTCGGACTGAGCTGACGCAGTTGTGTGTGTGAATTTCCTGGCAAATAAGGAAGGTAACTGTGTCCAAAAGACATTTAAGAGTGTGAATTCACAGCCTTTCCATGTCTAATCAAGGAGCGTAAACCATTAGCCACATGTTCTCCATTTCCATCACATTTTTTCACACTTAAACAAAAACATGCCAAAGAAAAGGTGATACATTTTTTAATGCCCCCAAATAGGAACCACGGGAGTCCGTTAAACACTGTGGTCATTTCCAGCATACAAATCAATTTTCCTTGTGGTGGTGAAGTGGTGAATAATGCCTGGTTTGTTTAAAGGAGCATGACTGATTTTGGATGAAGGATCCTGTCACTTTGGCATTTTTAGTTTTATTTATTGCACGCAACCGTATAAAACCTGGTACTAGCCTCAGTGCCAGGCTTACTAGTGGAAAAGCTGAAAGGACAACATAACTCCTGGTGCAGCAAAGAGGTTCTCCTTCTGCAAGGCATTTGCTGGACTCCTGAAAAATTATTTTCAGTAACATGGCAGAGAAGGATTTCATCAGCTGGCATCTACTGGCTTTATTTTTTCTTCCATTTTGCCTGTGTCAAGATGAATACATGGAGGTGAGCAGAAGATCTTATAAACCAGTGGCCAAAGTATTGCAAAGTCACCACCAGACTGGCCATAAAGGTTCCAGAAGCAGGGAAATATTGAAACAGCGGAGTCAACTTATAGAGTGGACTGTTGATAATAGCACTTCTACAGACCAAAAAGTCCTGAGACCAGAGGTAGATGATGTAGAACTGACTACCTCAGATAGAGTCCAGGTACTCTGAATTAATCTTCTAAAGATATCTTTAAAGCTAATGCTTTTTTTTTTTTTTTTTTTTTTTTTTGCTAATATTATTAGTAGTATATTTATGAAATTATTTCTATTAAGCTGTGTATTGGTCTGTATCCTGCTGGGTTGCTTTATAGGATCTTTTAATGAGCTGGTTGGGGACACTGGTTTCAACATAGACAGCAGCCCTTTGTTTTGCTGAAACTGTTCCTGTGCAATCATATATTCTGATATACAGTCTCAGTTATTTCAAGGTATTACTTATTTAATATATTAAAGTTTTAGATTCTGTTAACTCATTTGGATCTGAAGGAAAATCACAGAATTTATAGAGGTATTTGGAAAGATTCAATTAGCAGAGGATAACTTTACTTGAAAATTATGTATATAAAGTATATTCTTTTGAACTTGAGACAAACAATGAAATTCTGAGTGTTCACAAATTTTATTCTAAGGAATAGCTGGATAAAAATAGATACTAATGTAATGAGTAGATTTAATAATATATATCAACTTGACAGTTTTAGAGGAAAAAAGACTCAGAATGAAACTCTAAATCATCTGCAGTATATGTGTTTTAAACTGGGAATCTTTCTATGCCTTTTACATGGCATTTTAGATATTACAGTCATTAGCTCACAGCAAAGGGAAAATGGCATAATTTCATTATACATAAAATATCGCAGTCCAAATTTAAAAGGAAAAATCTGAAGGGCAGAAGATGAAGATTTTTCTAGCACTAGGCAAGCCAAAATTCCACTCAAATGAAGTTTTTGTTGATGTTTTTTAGAAACAACAAGAACACGAGTGTTTTGTTCCTATTGCTGATACAAGTGTTTGAGTCTTGTATAGTTCACCTTTTAGCATTTGTTTTTTAAAACTCTTTCAGATCGAACTGTGATATTTTGAATTCCAAAAATCATGGACATGCAGACAAGTGTTCAATAATAACCTACTTCATGATAAGCAGAGATGAGATTTGATTTTAATCCTGTCCTAGGCTTGAAGAACTGAAACACATCCAAGTATGGCAATAGGCTTAATATACCACTATATTTCCTGTATTTAAATTTCGTAGTGCTTTGCATTTTGTATTTCTTGGGCAGGAGTTATATGTTCCTCCAGTGCACTCAGGAAAATTTAACTGTAGGTATGTTAAATTGCACTTGCAGTATATAAACAGTGTAAACCATCAGGTATGTGGTCCAATGAGCCGTCTAGTGTGTGTGTACCTCTTTAGTGCAGAGAGAATTGTGCAGCTGCATACTACAGACCATGTATTATTGGTACCTACAGAAGATTCCCCTTTAAATCAACATAATTTCAGATAATGCAGGATTTAATACAAAATTACAACCTTTTCAGGGGTCAATCTCTCCCTCACAGAAAGTGTCACTGTGTTTGGGGTGCATGTGTCTCTCATCAGAGAGTTTAAGGCAGCATGTTTGGAGTTGCCTGCTGGGGGAAGAGGCTGTGACATTAAAACTGAGCCCAGTGAGTCTGAGTACAGCTGATGGCAGTCATTTACCTGCCAGACCCTCTCTAAGAAGCAATATTTGCTGGGGAAATGATGCAATTCTTGGCTTACTGAAATGAAATGGAGCACTAGCAGATGCATGACAGGGATAATCCATCACAGAGTGGCTGATGCAATAGGTATTTTCCAACTCCAGGGATTTCCAGGCAGAGGAGGAGCAAAGATGGCACAGACATGTTTTAATTCTTGTCAAACCTCTCTCTTCCCCTTGAGCTATCTGAAAGCTGTTTCACCCCTAAGTCCCTACTTTCTTGGTTCTCTTAGCTCTGGCTGGAGAATTTCACCCTCTTGCTAAAGTGTTTTAATGGTCCTACTCCCTGTTGTGGAATAGAGACAAAGGCATTGGTCTTCACTGCATTGGGTACAAGGCCAGTTTCCACACTGCTGGTAACTTACATAAAATATAATGTGCATTTCTCAAGCACAAGAACTCTTAGTGGCTGGGGAGAACCATGCCAGACACATTCTTCCTTTTCAAGTTGTTCTTTGAAAGCCTCCAGGTACCCCTCAACCTACTAGTGTTTTACCCTGAATTTTAGCAATTTTGGTTTGTTTAATTCTTTGCTAGAGAAGGGGCATGGAGAGCCTTAGTGCCCACAGAGACCTGCTATTTTGCATTCAGAACAGGAGCCAAGAATGGTGGATGTACATTACTCGTCCTCTGCATTGTCTTAGACAATATAACAGAAAACCATAAAATTAATCAGGAAGTGAAAAGGGGCTGGGTGTCCAATTATGGTTCATTCACAGCTTTAAGTTAAGGGAATTTTACAGACCGTCTGTTGCCTAGAAGTGCTGCCTACGTACTAAATCATAGGAAATTCAGCAAATAGCCTCAGAAATATTTCCACTTTTCTATCTGTATTGGGATATCAATGTGGCAGACGCATTTCACAAGCTCCTAAATCATATTCGTGTTCTGAGAGCAATGCCAAAGATTCATTGTGCAATAGAATTTATGTGTAAATGGCTGCATAGGACACCTTTGGCAAGTAAGTTGTAATTAATCTCTTTGTCCCATTTGAGTGTAATTTTTCTTTAGGAACAGGTTTTTCCTTAAATGTACTCTTCATTAAGTTCTCTGTTTCTAGAGATTAAAAGAGTATCCTGAATATTCATTGTTCTTGGCAGCTGACTGAGCATTTTTTTTCCTCCTAGTCAAAGGATCAGTAAAGATAATAAGTCAATACTACTTTATGACTTGCCTAAGCAGTTATTTTGAAGTCAGTGGAACTGTTCTCATACAACCAGGCTGTCAGGACTTGCCTCATTTCACACGTAATAACCTGCTGAGCTTTTCGAGAGGTAAATGCCAAATAGCATTTCTTTATGACCAGCACTAGTATTTATTTTATGATAACGTAGCTGCTTAGCTAATAATGTCGTTCAGGATTTCAGTGCCTTGGGTAAAAAAAAAACAAATCTTACCTGCACAGAGAGAGTCTCAAGTGCAGTTCAGTTTGCTAGATTCATGCCTCCTCTTACCTATAATCCATAGTTCTAAGTCTTTGGATATTTCTAGGCTGATATGACTTATTTGCTCCTGGCAGATGTGCATAGTTTGCCTTCTCATTTAACATGAATATGAAGCACTATCAAAAAAGAGCTGGAAATTTTAATCTCAGTGCAACACTCAACATTTGCATTTCAGGTGGTGCAAAATGCTTGCGCAATTCCAGTCCTCTCGTACTTGGCTCTCCTTCAAGGACTGAAAATGAGCTGAAAGCAGGCCTACTTCTTCTCTCATATTAGGAAAGCTTTAAACAGTGTGTCTGGTGATTGTCAGTTATGTTCTTCTTAACAACTGGGAGAGATAAAACAGCAAGAAAGATACAAACAGGTTGTCCAGGAACACAGTGCAACAGGCAGAACTCATTTTTCTCATAAAATATAGACCTTATCCAGAATTAAGGTAAAAAGCATAGCATTGACCAAACCCCCATAAATATGAAGCCCTTCTGCCCATTGGCAAGTCAACATTTCCATAACTCTTTGAATATGAAGAATATTTGTTGAGCTCTCAGGTCAGCCTTTATTCCCATGGTAGCTCCATTGTTGGTCGTTCCAGCTGGAGATGGCATGTGTGTGTCCCATTGGAGGAGTTGCAGTATTTTGGTGGCATGAAAAGGGTTTTCTCTATCCATAAAGATGAACTCCAAAGACTCTTGAAATTGATTAATTCTGGGGGTGTGCTTGGTATTGTTCAAAACATGGGCAGAAAGCTTTAGTGTTTCAGATCAAGCCAGATGATGACCTTGAGGGCAGGAATACAGCACATCTGTATGTTTGTTTGGCAGGTCCCATCCCACCAGAGGCTCGTTTTCTGCCATTAAACCAACAGGTCTGCATTAGGCAAGTAATTTGAGGCTAATAAAGATGTGTGGAATGAAAGGGAAGGAAGACAAACAGTAGAATGATTAGAGAAAAGTAGCAGTTGGACTGGTGTAACTATGCCCCTCCAGAATTTAAGAACTGCAGATTTGCACCCCAGGATAATAGCAAAGAACTGTAGGAAAAAAGAAACAAAGAAGGAGAAATGAAAAGGAGGCAGAGAAATAAAATCAAACCCTGGACCCCTACCTCAGCTGACCCGTCGGAAGATTTGTGACCACTAAGTCATCGCAAGAGCCTAGTTACAAAAGCCAGCCAGGATTGAATGAGACTCCATTAGCATAAATAGAATAATTTGGGAAACAAAACTATTATCAAACTATTATTACAGTAGCTGAGCTGTGTATAATAAACTCATTAGTTTATTTATGCTGCTATATTAGTTTCAGCATATGAATAGGTTTTCATAGTTACACACCCATAACTACCAATAATCAGATGTCCATAACACCAGGTGTTGTGGCCAGTTCAAATTTTTGTCATGTATCTTGACACTTTTTTAGGTTCTCCCAACTTTGGTAGCCTGTAAATACACAAGTCTGGGGCCATGAACAGGCATATGCTGCACAGACATTTTTGCACACCTCCTTTGGGCAGTCCAACACAGTTTTCTTTATGTTCAGTGGAGGATAGATCATTGCTGAAGGTCAAATGAAGTCCCTTGTGTCCTACCGCTTGTTGTACGTAGGCTTGTTTGTCGAGAAATGTTAGCTGAAATGAGGGATCAGTGAAAAGCAGAATACGAACCTAAGTGAAATAGTCATCTAACTTTTATTACTTGATATTATTTTATTTTCAAAACCCTCATTATTTGACAGGACAAGTTGGGGTTTTTTTTAATATCCGTATAGCTCTTAGAACACTTGAACAACTATTCCCTTAAATCTTCCAAAAATAACAACTTCAGGGACAACCCAAGTATGGGAGATTTCAGCCCAGATAAGAAGTGTTTGAAAACTTAGCAAATATATAAACAGAGAATATATAATGAAGACCCTGTAACCGATATGCATATGATTGATGCCTTCCATGAATGAGCTATTTAAAGCTTATTTTTGTGCACTTAGCCCCCACAAACCGGACCACAGAATCCAGACTGTAGTTCCTGCTGCCGTGGTGACTTTGGAGTTCGACTCTACCAAGGGCCCCCAGGACCTCCTGGGCCCCCTGGGATGCCAGGTAAAGATGAAGTTTAATTGATTTTTCGATCAGTCTAATTACAGGTTATAAATTACAGGCTATACTATGAAATATCAGAGAATGGTCCAGATATCAGTATTGGGGGACAGACTCAGAAACAAGTTTTTCTATAATTTCTGGGGAGACAAGAGATTTTCAGTTAGACTCTAAAGTCTTTTCCAGTGAAAACCCATTTGGTATTAAAATTCAGCTTTCACAAATTCATACTGAAAGTAATCTTCTAACATTTCTAGAGCAAATTGGTCTGTCTTCTTAAAGTAGCATGAAGCTTCCACTAAAGTAGGAAGAACCTGTTTCCTGGAGTTGATTATTGCAATCACCTTTGAATATCCAGCTGTGCTATTGTGTACTGTATTCAGGAGCTTTTTTTCATCTAGCATACTGCTAGCCAATATTTTACAGAGACACACATGCTTCTATTCTCTCATAGAAATTTCTTCTTTTCCTTCTTTCTTCTTGTCTTCCATAATAAAAAGTACCTTTTTTTTCCCCATTAAAAATGCATACAGGAGAAGAGAATACACAAGAAAAGGGTATACCTCAATCTGATAATTAGTATGGAAAAAGAAGAGCCTAAGAAGGGAAAAAGATAGTTAGTTGCATGTTGGTGTAAGTAAGTTTGTTATAGCAGCTACCTTCAGGGATTTGAAAAATCACTGTTCCTAAAGCAGATGTATAATGTAAATGAACATGTCACTGACAGATTTGTTTCATCTTCAGAAGCTTATGTCTTCTGTTACCGCAATAAAAATGCAATTGCATAATACTTGTGTCTCACAAATGTACTAACAGTAACAGATATGACAGAGAACGATCCACAAAAAAAAAATCAATGTAGTGATTTTTGGTAGAAACAGTTTACAGTAACAGTTAAATCTGACTGTTATGAAGTTAAATGTGAGTGAATGAAGTGTTTCAAGAACTAGCGTCAGCTGGCAAAATGTTGAAATAAATTGTTACTTTGACATAATTTGGATATTAGGCAAAATGAGGTCATAGGCATGTTTGGTATTAGCCTGCTGTAAGCTATTCATGCATCAACCCTTTGTAAAAATACTATTGACCATTACAGAAGTAAAAGAAATCTAATTGTAAGGCCTCTTGTGCAGAAATATTGCATTACATATTAATAAATCATTGGCTTCTTAGAAGCAGGACACAATTTTGTATTAGACCCACACTTTTAAGGCTGCAGTGGACATACTGGGACACAGCCCAGTCCCAGCTTTGCCTTTTCCTCATGTGAGAATGTATCTTAGTCACACTGTCTTGGCACCACAGGATGCCACAAACGTATGGCCAACAGCAACCTTCTGAACCTTGGAATTTCTCTGTCTCCTTCATCTGCTGCATTGCATATCATTGTGCCCGTAAGGAAAATGACAACAGATGCTTTTCTCTTGACTAAACCAAATGTTGCTTGCAGACTTCTGTTCTGAACTGGTAAGAGAAGTAGTTCTGGTTTTACATGAAGGATCATTCTTGTTATTTTTAGGAGCTGTTGATTTCTCTATCCAAACAAAAATTTGCTTCATTTCTTCCACCATTTAGCTTCCTTGTTTGAAGTAAATTTTTTCTCAATACAAAAACTCTGAAGAATCACTTAATCATTAGGTTTGATCTCAAACACCACCGTTCTTCTTGTAAATGCATAAGTAGAGTGACTAAACAGAGAACAAGCAGAGTGGGAAAGAATCTAATTTCAATTCAGGTAGAATTAGAACAATGATTACAGTAATCCCCTGAGTAATTAATTGAAAGGTCAGGCTTTTGCTTCAGCTATGCATACTAATTGCTGAGTGATTCTAGCCAACTTTAAAATTTTGTCAGTCGCATAGATGTTTGCTCAGTAATTTCCTCAGTAAACATCAGAAAGTAATACTGCAGATGCAGGAACATATTTTTATAATGACCCTTTTTACAAGAAGCCATCTGAGAAAAGCTTCATTATAAAAATTTTGTCTTTCTTTAAATCTAGGAATGTGCAATCAATCAAGCCCTTCAAGCTAACCAGCACCCTGAGAATGCACAGTCTCCCAGTTTTGGCACAGATGGGTCATTTAGCTTGTTTAAGGCTACAGACATTCTTCAATTGTGTAGACATGTTTTAAAGACAGAAAAATGTTATTCAAAATTATCTTATCCTATCCTAATAAACTTAAATTATCAGGAAATAAGTTTTTACACAAAAGGAGAAGCAAGAGTGCTTATGCAGGCTACCTGGTATGTGTCAATAGGCACTGACTTTTGCTTCCCTTCAGCCTCATGGCTGCTGAGGTCTTGTCCTTGCACATCTCCTCAGCAGCGCAATGACTTGAGACTTCGGCAGTTTACACAGCAACACCAAGATAGCATGAGAGTTAGCTCTTAAACATCAATCTACATCCTCTGGAAACTTGCTCATCAAAACCTTCATCTTCAGCCTAACCATACAGCTGTTTCTTAGCCATAGCAGCTCAGTCTGGGTTTTACGGTACTGAAAAGTTCATGTGTTGCAAACTGGTGGAAAAGGACCCTGTCACAGTTACCTGTTAAAATATATTATATGAAATTATTTAAGTTAAACAGAAAGCTCTGTTTCCTTTAAGGAAATCATGGGAACAATGGAAATAATGGAGCAACTGGCCAGGAAGGAGCCAAAGGTGAGAAAGGAGACAAAGGAGATATGGGACCAAGGGGAGAGCGTGGCCATCATGGACCCAAAGGCGAGAAGGGTTACCCTGGGATTCCCCCAGAGCTACAGGTACAAAATCTCTGGCTTGTGTTGGCTGCAGCAGTTCTCAGGTTATGGTTTTCTTCTCTGAAAAAGAGCACCTAACTACTGTAAGATAGTTAAGAAGCAAATCACCCTGTAAATTAATACAGTGAGATACATAGATAGCCCTTGTCATGACTGACAAATGTGCTCTGCCAGATCTTCCTGAAAAAGAAAGACATCAGGGCTTAGACTTTCTATAGAGTAAAAATCCAACTGAGAAATGGGCAGGAAGAAACATATATGGTTCCCTTTTAGGGCAGAAAGCCAGTATCTGGGTCATTAAAGGAGAATAGCGGGGACTATCATTTTTCTGTCAAGCTGTATCACATACATAACTGCGCTTCCTGTGGCATATGAAAAGAGTAAAGGAGTCACTCAGGCCCATGTTTCTGCGGTTAATCAGCCTTTGTGAGATTCTCAGAAGCATATGTATCCAACTCCTCAAAGTACGGGGTCAAAACATCTGAGTGCAGACAGAAGTCCTCTGGTTTTGAAAAAAAACTCTCAGTAGCTATCTGTGGTTTTATGCGTCTAGATACCTTACACATGTTGAGAAGCATGTAGGTTCTGCCTATGAATGAACTACCCAAAAGCCAGATGAGCATTAAAACATGGGTTCAAACCAGAGCTGACAAGCTCTGCTGAGGGATGGGATGTATTTGTTTGGGCTCAGTACTGTGTTGGCATAGTCCCATAACTTTTGCGTTAGAGCTTTTTCATGTCCCAGGAATCTGGCAGATGGCAGAGAGCTTATGTATATGTATATGTATATGTATATGTATATGTATATGTATATGTATATGCATATGCATATGCATATGCATGTGTATGTGTATGTGTATGTGTATGTGTATGTGTATATGTATATGTATACGTATATGTATACGTACCTGCAGTACAGCAGAGGCATGGTGTAGTCCGGTTCTTAAGGCAACCGAAAGTAAATGGGACTTGGATAACTTAAGACCCTTGGTTGCTGTTGCAGAGGGGATTTAAAAAGAGTTGTCCACACTGTATACTGCAGTGTAGCAATATATGAGCAGTTCATCTGCAATAGCAGGAAGACTTGACTATCTCCATGTTGTAGCACAGTTAAGGTGCTAAAGGCAAGATTTAGATGCATGGCAAGCCTTCGAGATGTATCCTTCCTGGTCTCCAGCTGCCACTGTGGAAGGCGCTTCTGTAGGTCAGATCAGCCAGCCCCGTGTGGGGGAATCCTAAAGCACTTCAGGTGACACTAGGTGCATTTGCACGGACAAGTGATTGCAGTCAGATTCAGCTCCAGAGAGCCTACATGTGAGGGAAGCATCTAAGCTCCCATTACAATTACTGAGGATCTAGAAGAGCAACTCAGCTTAATCTGACAGTCATTGCTGCTTTTGGGCAAATGAGACTTCAGACACCACGGAGTACATAGATCTCCAGAAACTATAAGGGAGTTTACACCCTCACTCACACATACACACTTTAATGGAAATGCATTAGTCTTGATCTGATTCATACCCCCAAAACCAAGTTCACCACAGAAGGGACAAAATGGGATACAGCAAACACGCACAAAAAGAAATCCCACTTCCAAACACTCTGACTTTGGGGAAAACTTCTGGGAAAGTTCTGATCTATTTACAGATCTACACCTTTTAACCGAAGGATACTGTTTCCCAATAACAGTTATTAATATATGTTTTATATCCTCATAAAAGGCATGCAAGTTAACAGCAAAATCAACAGTACAACCAATGTGTGCAGTGTGGAAAATGGCTTTGGATTTCCTGGCGTTGTGTAGGTTTGAATTCTCCACCCTAGGATGCATGAAGATGGGATAATTGCACAGAATAAAATTCACAACGAAAATAGTTTCCAAAATTACTGGACTTTTGTAACAAAGCAGAATTATTTTAGTATTTTTAAAGAATTATCTGGAATTAACATTATAGCTGAATATCTTTGTCGTGGTTTAACCCCAGCCAGCAACTAAGCACCACACAGCCGCTCGCTCACTCCCCCCCGGTGGGATGGGGGAGAGAATCAGAAGAGTAAAAGTGAGAAAACTCACAGGTTGAGATAAAGACAGTTTAATGGGTAAAGCAAAAGCCGCACGCACAAGCAAAGCAAAGCAAGGAATTCATTCACTACTTCCCATCAGCAGGCAGGTGCTCAGCCATCCTCAGGAAAGCAGGGCTCCATCACGCGTAACGGTTACTTGGGAAGACAAACGCCATCACGCCCAATGTCCCCC